CTGCCAAACTCAATACATGCATAGATAAAAAGAGGGACGGTGACGTATTAGTCTCGCGTAGAAATGAGGGAGGAATCCTGCTATTGTGGTTGGATCCAATGGAGAGCCTGGAGGTGCATCCATCACAGCCCACGTAAGCAACGTGCTTCACATGCTCCCGGGCTTTCTGTGCACATGCCGTTTGGGCTCTGCTTCTGGCTTCTGCTTGGCGTCTTCCGGTGTGCAGGAGCCAGAAGCTGAGCTTGAAACAAATCACAAGTCCCCCTGCAGGTCAACGTGCTGAAGCGGGTGCAAACATCCGTAACCTCTTGGCTCACGAGCCAGTCCTCCCGCGACCCTTCAATCGCTTCCATCACGTGACGCCTGTCGTGTAGAAAAGAACCGCTCAACGGCTCAGCCATGCAAAAGTAAACCTCACTTTGCCTCTCCACGCCCTAAGCTCGCTGGGCTGCCTGCGGGGGAGAAGTGCAAAGTGAGCAGACATTGCGCAGAGTCGAGGCCAAGTGGGCCTGAGGCAGTTGGCTGCGTCACGCAGCCAGGGCCAGCTCTTCGCGCTTTCAGATGGCTCAACTCCTCATCGCATCTCATCGCACGCGTCTAGCCGCTTAGCATCACAAAACTGAAAGCTACAAGGGCTCCTCGCAGATGCGGCTGACAGCTTCGGCCATGGAGTCAAGCCCTAGCTCGCTGCTTCGGACCTGTCACACTCTCTTCGTCCAAAACTTGAAAGCCCTAAGCCGTTGCTGAGAACTTTCAAAGCCGCGTGCCCGCTGCCACAACGAAGTCAAATCCTCGCTCATCTCTGTCAACTCCTTCCAGCAGCTCTCCTAGCTACGTGTAGAGTGCATGTCGCTAAAGAAGCAGTTTCCTCACGCATCTCACGCACATCCTCTGAGAAGTCTTGCGTGTTGGCAGCCTGCCACAACGTCAGTGCTGCATGCGGAGTAGAGTGGCTGATTGCGGAAGCCACCCTCTGTGCTCGGAGGGCCAGCCGAAGAGCTCTTTCCCCAACACTGTCCACTTGAAGCCGTGCATCTTGCGTCTGCACCATGTCCTTCACAGATTGCTAAGAGGAGTCAAGAAGGAGTCAAGGACGTCAAGAGCGCAGAACAGGTGATGTCTCCTGAAGCTCAGAACCCAATGTGTCTACACGAGCATCTAGTTCTGCCACCTGGCTCATGGCATATCATGGCATCTTGGCTTCAACTGCATCCTGTGGACTGTGGGACATGGGGACCTGGTCCTCCATCATTGTTGCATGCTCCTTGCCACAACCCCGCTTAGACCAAGCTGGTGGCTTGAAAGAGCACCTCTGCTTCTCTCCGGAGATCTTCCATCTGAACAGAGACCTACGTCAAAAGCTGGAAACAACGCTGCTGGCCGTGGAGGTCTTTTGGAATGTCAAGGACCACAGGGCAATGGAAATATGTCAGCCTCGTGAACTTGTGTCCGGAGGTCTTCAGCATCCTCGTGTTCTTGAACGTATGAGAGAGGACAACTTGCAGAGAGAACGTGAAGATATGCGTGACTTCCACAAGTCACCAAGCGGGCTCTCCTGAATTCTTTCCAACTGACCAGGCTCCTGACAATATGTTTGCTGGTTTTGCAGCGAGGGAGAGAACCACGGATTGCACCTCCGCCTGTTGCACTCGCACCGCCAGCTGCTCTATGACCTCCTGGATGCCTGGCACAAAATGTCTCGTCTCACGAACATTCACGGAACTCAATGGTACATATGCTGTTACTATTAGTTGAGCACTGCAGGCCTTCAAGGCTTGGACCCAGGGCCTGCTGAGAATGCTGTGGCTCTTTCACTTGGCGGTTTTGTCTTCGGACCTCGTTCCGGCCACGCTCCACCTGTGCCAGCCTTGATCCGCAGATGCATCAGAAAACTTTCATGAAGGGTTGCGCATGGAGCCCTCAATTTCGATCAAAGCTGCCCAAGATCTTCCGAAGCCAGGGAACTGTTTCTCACATACCCAACGCAGCAGACGTGCCTCGTCACTAGCTGTAGCAACTTTGAGTCCATGTCCGCAATCTGAACAGTCCTTTGCTTCAGATACTGGATTTTAATGCGTTCTGGCACTTGGCAATCCAAAGGTCACTTTGTCTGCATGAGATTGAAGATCATTGAACTTGCCACGAGATTCCTGAACAAGACACCCATCTCACTCCACGGTGCGCGATGTCAACTGTCCTCAAGCTGCCGCATCTTCACTTCCATGGCATCGAAGCGCTTCATTACAGCAGCATCCTGTTCACAGACTGGCAATCGAGGATGCTGCAAGGCTCCAAGAGATGCGTTACAGCAAGCTTGTGGATGAGAGTCGGCTGATGCAATCTAGCAGTACAGAAAACTATGCAGTACCCTCGAACCCATTGCCGAGCGGCTAAGGCGTTTTTCAAGGCAGTCCCACATTTACCATCGTAACTTATGCCCAAACTCCTGTAGGCCATCTTCAAGCACACTTCTCGAGTTTTGCAAGGCAGAGGGTGGCCAGGCCTCTGGGATTCCAGTTTTGCCTCGCACATGGTCTGCAACCTCTTTGAGACCCTCCTCAAGCACGGTCCCTTGTGGCAGCTGGCCCCTGACATACAGCTGACAATATCTGACAGGCAACTGAACACTGATCTCATTGGATGGCCTGATCAGGCTTTGTACCGCTTCTGCTAGGCCATCAACCTTGCTTGCCAGCGGTTAACGCAGAGCTTTGACCAGCTTAGAAGCTCTGTGAGTGTGTGTGTGTGTGTGTGTTATCCTGGTGGCTTGACTGGGGCTCTGCTGACGCATGCATCGTTGGTCAGAGTATTGATTCTGCGAGATGGCATGCAAACTTTGAGTCTCCGAGCATGGCCCTGCAGCACGGCCCACCGTCCCGCAGCAGCACTGGCGCAAGCCACCTGGCAAAGTTCCCATCATCCCCTGCTTGGCACAGGAGTTCTGGCCTCTTCGACCCGTTTCTCCAAGCGTTCCAGTTTCCGCTCCATTTGCCGTCGCTCCACCTACCACAAGAAACACGACATGGCAGGGACAAAACCAGCCAAAGTTCCATTTTGGCGGCGGCCTCAATTTGCTGCTCCAGACGCCGCACAGCCATTGGCACGGCCGATCGCTCAGTTCGAGCCGCATCATCATTCTCCTACATGCTGCAACTGCCCAAATGAAAAAAGATGAATCGTGCCATATCCTTGTGGCGAAGCTTATCTGCAGGTAAGTGGACCTGAAGAGCATTCTGAAGGCTGACTATGAGATGGGTTCAAATGCGCCTCCGTGTGGTCCGCCGCCGCCGCACATAAGGCTGCAGCCTGAGCCGCACAAGTGAAGGCAAAGCGCAGGCAAAGCGCAAGCAAAGCAAAAGCGTAACACGAAAAACACAATTTGTCCATCTGAAGCTGTCACCAGGGCTGCGCCAGGTCTCCTCAGAGCTATGAAGCCAGTGAAAACAAGAAAGAAACATGCAGCGAGACAAAACTCGAATGCGTCCTGGGTGGGTCCCCTGCTCGGGTCACCATCCTCACAGCCTCAGTTTGACTTCATTGCCTGATGGTCGAAGTCCAACTTGAGGTCCAGACAGGTTGCAGATGGGAGCAAGGCTCCACAGACGCGCTTGTGGTGTGCTTGGTGTGCTTGGTGTGCTAAATTCCTGTGCTACTCTCAATGGCCATCGGCTCGTCCGGCGGCACATGTCTAGTCAGCCTGCATTAGTCCGCTGCCTGCGCTTGGCTACATAGGTCTGTCAAAGGAAAATTGGGCCGGCAGAAGGGTGCTGCAACGGCCACACCCAAACCACAAGACCCAACACAGAACAGCCGTCTGCAACCGAGTTCAGCGTGGCAATGAATGCTATACAGTACTTGTACGTGCACCGCGAAGTCCACAAGCAGGGCTCACAAGTGCACCGGATCGTATTCAATGCCTTTTTGCTGGCCCCTGCTGTACTGTCATGGTTCATGACATTCCTGGCCAGCACAGGAGGATAAGCAGGATGGCCACGTCTTCCCAGAGATAAAGATCCACCCAGCACCACCACAAACTATTGCTCAGTTGCACGACTAGCTCCGGTGCTGATTGATGGAGCGGGGTGGAAAGTGCATGAGAACAGTGGCGCTTGAACGATGCCTTGCGCAGAAACGCGATCTTCACTGCAAAAAGGCGCAAAACGTCCCGAAACTCTAGAGGTGAATCAGAAGACCCTACCCGGCCTATGAAGCCAACAGAACTGTGAAGATCCAGCAAAAACTTGGGAACAGTGCACCTGTATGGCACAAGCTGCCTGCCAAGTGCGTTCCTTGAGTTGTAAATGCTGGAGGAGGTCACTTCTTGGCCTGTTTGCTTCGTTTCTCAGTCAAAGTGCCCAGGCGAAAGGGTGACCCCATGTCCAGACGTAACTTCTGACCAAACGGAGAATCCCAGCATGGCATGAAACTGACATGAGTCTGCCACGCTACGGAAGCAGAGCTGTCATGCTCTATCATCTGGCCAGTCACGGCGGAGCAGTATTGAACGGCCTGGTCGGCTTGCAACACTCTAGCATTCCGATTAGCATTTCGATTGTGCCTCTGAGAGGCTGACACTTTCCAACAAAAGTTCCGTTCAGTGCAACTACATGCTGCCTTGTTGCAGAATGAAATGTCAGCCTTCACATACCCATTATTTTACAGCGTGCACAGTGAAACTGCAGCTGGGGACGTTGCGCTGGCGATTTGCACAAGACGGTAGTCCCTCGGCATTTCACTTTGTGTGAGAAGTTTTTACTCAGTTCCTGCTGCACTCCAAAAGCTGGGACTATCGTGCATTAAAAGTGCGCACTTGCCCCAGGCTGCGAAATGCTAGCCGTGCTAGCTGCTGAGTCTGAAAGCAGCCGACTCCAATAGCGCAGATGAATGTGGATGACGCATTGGCACGTGCTGTGATGTTGTTCAGGTTTTGTAACGTCCTGGCTGCACGAGTCGTGCTACTCATGGCCGTCTTCGACTGGCCAGGTATACACGCTGAAGGACAAGGGCAGCAAACGCACGCAAGCCGCACCCTTGTCAAAGCATGTTCAAGAGAGCCATGCATATGGTACAGCCATCGTCATTGTAGACATGGCTACACAGTCCTCTATCTACAAAGGGGCCCAAATTCCAGGTTTTTGGACAAGAAGCCTGGTTTGGGTTTGCCCAAGCAGCATGGTGCACATAAATTCCGATCGGCTGTCAGCTCGAGGGGCTTCTCAGCGATCTAGGCCGCGCCTGGAGAAGTTTTCTCAAAATCCATGGAAGTCCGTTTTGCCTGAAAAAGCAGGCCTCGGCGGCTTTCTCTGGACACGGCCCGCTCGGGCGGATTGACCATCCTTTCCAGCGAACGTGCTGTCGTCCTCTTCGGGCAAGTAGCCCAACTCCTGCGCGAAGCTGCTCCCTTTACATCTGCCGACACAGGTTGCAGCAGCTCCTTCATAAGTCGCTCAGCAAACCTCGTCTCCTTGGACGCACCCTGGCATGACAAAGGTTGATCCTAAGTCCGAAGTCCTAGGAGCTCATCGCAGCTCGGCAGAGCCTTGAGCTCAGAGAAACGGCCGCTGAGGTGTAACAGCTGTCGGCGAGCCTCAGAGTATGTGGCTGCTTCAAGCTTGCAGTCAAGCACCGGCGCAGGTGTCCAGCCTCAGCTTCAATGTCTCCGCCCAGGTTGAGCAATGCCTTGACCACGAAACCACCATACTGCGTACGCCTGGCAGCAGCAGTCTCTCAATCTGGCCCAGGATACTTCTCCAAATCGCGCCCGTCTCACGCCAAGGTCTCAACCCCGGTGTCTTGATGACGGGGGTCCTCTTGAGAACACTATCTGAAGCTTTTCTCATGTGGCCATGCACAGCAAGGTGGTTTAGACTCTAAGATACGACGCATGATGAAACAAGTCTCGTAATCTATGCTAGGAAAGTCCCTTCCTGCGGAGCGGGTGACCCTGATTTCAGCCCACATTTCCACATCTCCTGTTGCAGCAGCTGAACCGCCAAAGCGCGCCTGCAGCCCCAGGCCACACAGGCCAGATTTAGCAGCTTTACATCGCTAAATGTTGCTAAGCCCGCAAGGTGCCTGTCATCCCCTGAGCAGTAGGTCAGGGCCTTCTCAATGACATGACTCGCATTGCCTGGCCACCAAATGGGCCGCAAGACTAAGCCAGTTGCGAAGCGTAGGTCAACAAACGAGGCAAGTGACGATGCTGCGCTAGATCCACAATACGGGGACCAAGGGCTCCAGCAAGTGACTTCCTGTGTGTCTGCACGTATGTGCGTGACATTTACAGAAAGATGCCAGCGCCTCTGATCATCGGTACCATGCTCTAGGATGGCTTGGGCCTTATGTAAGGGCCACCCGTGCAGGAGGCATGAGAAGGCTGGAGGAGGTAATAAGCCATGTGCCACATACCTGCCAAACTGATTTTGGACCAGGTCCTCGGTGTCTCGCATCACCTCACGGGTTTGCCACGGCATGTCACAAGAAGAGTTCAGAAATCATGGAAAAGAGCAGGCAAAAAAACAAAACAAGCAAGGGCCTTCGCAAGGAGCCTCTGCGTAGAAGTGAGGTTTGCCGACTGCTCGAGCAGCCGGCAAAATATTCTGCACCCGAAGACATTCCGAGCAACCTGTACATCTATGTTTTTTGCGCCTCTGGTTGTTGGTTTCTCCTGCCAACCGGCCCCAGCCTCTGCTGCCCTTGTCATGAGCTCTTCTGCGATGAAGTTGGTCTTGGATGATGGCAAAACCTGTCAGTCCCATTGGACATACCACTTCAAGTGTTCGCTACAGCCTCTCGCCTCTATGACGCGCTGCAACACGTGATTCCCATGCAGAGATAGTGCCACCTGGTGGATGCTCGGAAGACGGGGCCAGCTTTAGTGCTGGCTTCATGGCCTCTGCGATGTGTCCTGTCAACTCGGTCGACAGCTCCGTAGCAGTTTGGCGGGTTGCCACCTGCTCTGCATGACTCTGCCACAGCATCCCGCAAGACACCAAAGCATTGCCGAAACATGCTGGAAACTTGACAAAACAATGATGGCTTCGCATGGCTTTGCATGCGTAGGAGACCTGCCTTCAAGGCCATCTGCACGGCGCGACTGGAGCTCTCAGACTAAGTGGCGGCCGCCAATGGCAAGGCCGTATGCATGTAGCACAAACTGCGAAAGAAAGCGCACATAAGAAGGCAAGTCACCTCGGTGGCCAAAGCCACTACGTTCCCCTGAATCTGCTGGATGGCATCAAGACGCACCTGCCATTCCCGTCTGCTGGCGCTGTCGTGTGGCATGGTCTATGGCAATGGTGATGGTGGAAAACCACAAGGCCCAGATTATGAATGCCCCGGGCCTCGTGGTCACCCACCTCCAAATTAGATCGGAGCATCTGGAAGAGTTTTGCATGATCAGAAGCTGCTTTGACACCTTGCTCCTGCACCACAGCCGGGTTCATCGTGACTTTGACTTCCCGTCTGATCTTGTACTTTGGCAATTGGCAATATCTGCGTACAACCCACCTTGCGCCGAGCCCGAAGTTTGCTATTTGCCTGGAAGTGCAGCGCTTGCAAAGCAACTTCTATGACAAATTTGGTCTGCCTGAGACATCTTGGCATCCAGTGGATCACCTGCAAAAGCGCGAGTAACCATTCGGAAAACAGGCACAGGCCTTGTGGTTATTCGATGCGCAACTCAGGCTGGAGCTGGCCGCATGTGCCTCAAGACAATTTGATGGTGCGCAAGATTTTTTTTATGCGAGACAAGCCGAGGCTGCCTGAGGACGGTTGTGTGTCTGCGCTGGCTGCGCTGGGAAGGACTGATGGGTCTGCTGGCGTCCCTGCGGCTGCTGCTGCTGGTGCTGGTGTTTCTGGGCAGTCGCCTGCTGGTGCTTTGGTTGCATGTCAGCTCGGTCCTGTGGCGCGTGTCCATTATCCTCCGAGGTTGACATCTGAGCTGGTGTCAGACGCACTGGCGTAAACAGCGGCTTGGGCTGGGGTTCGTCTAACACTTGTGCTGCTTGGAACTGGGAGGGTTGCTGAAAGAGTTTCTTCTCCTGACGGTCGGGGATGTTTTGTTGGACTGGTTGCAAGGGAAGTTGTTGCAGGGGCATCTGTGGCATCTGCGACTGCATTTGAGCAGCTTGTTGCAGCTGTGCTTGTAGTTGTACTTGTTGCATCTGTGCCTGCTGCTGCATTTGCGATGGGTGCATCTGCACCTGCTGCATTTGATTTTGCTGCGGCTGGACCTGAGCTTGTGCCATCACTTGTTGCAGCATCGCCTGCTGGAGTGGTGCCTGCGGCTGATTTTGCATTGGTTGCTGAGCTTGCGTCTGCATTTGTTGCACTTGCAAGCTCCGGGCATTTTGCATTGTCTGATTAGGCCACCATGCAGCATTTTCCACCATGCCACTCATGTTAGTGGATGCGTGTGCGGCAACGTTTGCATTTGTAGCAAAATTTGCACTTGTAGCACTTCCATCACATGACGCAGCCCACGGCACCATGGGACCTACCAGGCCAACATGCAAACAACTGCCTTACAAGAATGCTTGCCCAGCCTGTCATGCCAGTCTGCACATACACCATGGGGTATTGAATCATGTTTGGGACGTTAGGCGCGAAGCACACCTGCCGCGGGCAATCTTAACATCTCCTGCGAACAACAATCCAGGCATAACATGCACTGTGTTAAGTTGCCAACCACGTCTCCAGAGGGTGCCATAAGTGTCATGCACACCGTTCGAAAAGTTTGTTTCCTCAGCTAGTCGATGCAAAGTGCAACGCGTGTATGTACAAGCAACCAATGTGCACAGGTCAAACCTCGGATACACCGAGATGCTCGGCAGCGCAGCTCCACGCTACTGTTTCACAACATAACCTACAACACCTACGATAACGCTTCCGAGCAACATTCAACAGCAAGCACTGAGCTGGATCAAGCGATCCTATAAGGCAGTGCCAATGCGTTCAAGCAGCTGTTTACATTGGAAACAGCAGCCCAAAAATATGTTTGAAAAAAGCTACCGTCGTTGCAAGGCTCGAAATCTTGATGACATGCCTCGACACGTTAGCATTCCACAGGTCACCCATCACCGCTTTCCAGGATTCCATCTTAGAAAATTTGCAGCGCGCTCCATTTTCAAATGCAACCTGCTTTACTCTCATGAACTTGGCTATAGCCCTCTAAATAATCCAAAACCCACCAAATCATATATGAAAATTTGACACATGCCCCACTAGCATTCTCCACCCAACACCAAATAATCCATAATCCAATGGTTGCTTGAATCACTACATCACAAGTCCTTCTTGTGACGGGTCACAACAATGTTTCATGAAGCATATAAGAACGAATCCCAATTCCAACCCGGAATTTGTAACAAGCATGCATTGAAATAGCAAGGCACACTCTGTTTGGACCATGATCATCATGAAGTTTTCCGCGCTGCTGTTCACAGGAATGTTCTGTGTGGCGCACTGCTCCTGTCTAAGACCTACCACAACAAGCAGGCAAACAGCACTCTCTTCTCTCCAAAAGTGCTGGTTTATCAACCCATGGTTCCATCGTGAAATATAGATATTTATCCACGGAAAGAGTATTATCAAAATGCGCAGATTGCCAGTCAAACAATCAATCAAGCCGCACAAACTCTTATTGCAGTCATGGGCGACACAATGCATGGTTCATGGCAAACTTGCAAACTGGTTTTGCCAGGCACATACGGGATGAGAATGACACAGGGTCAGGTTTTCTGTAAAAGGTCGACTGGTTGAACAAATCAGTTCTAAACATTTTGATCTCTAG